TAATATATCACGCCACCTTTCATAGAGATATTGTTTATCATTCCATGATATGTCAAGTGTATATTTATATATATCTGACATTCATGAGTCTACTACCTGCTCCTGTGGATATCATTTTGAGGATCCTCCACATTATTTCCTTTCATGTCGCAACTACATCAATCTTCGGAACAGCATGTACTACTATTATATAAAAAGATATGACTTGGATTCAGTATTATATGGATGTGCTACAACATCTACTGATACCAACCTGCTAGTGTACAACCTGTCCATTTGTTCACTGCAAAATCTAAAAGATTATAAATTTAAATATGTCTTCTTTACGATTACATCAATCAAATAGTTGTTTGTATGTGTGATATGCTGGTATGCTGTTGTTTATGTACCGATATATGTATGTGTGTATTTGTGTGACTTGTATATTTGCATCATAATATTTGCAACAATAGGTGCAGTTAATCAAAATTATGATTTTATGTACAGTTTACTCTTATTAATTGTTAAATGTCCTTTGTAGGGAGAGGTGTTTAAATAGGTTTAATCTGTTCACCAATCCCATTCCTTTGTTTTTGGAAATAAATATGGTTTAAATTATATATCTGACAAAACGTATTATCCCTTTCAAATGATGAGAAGTATATTTACAGTATACGAATATGTCTGATGAGGAGTGAAATTTAATCAATATCACTTGTAGTGAAATTAAAAACATACTATGTGAATATTTAATTAAATGTTAAATGAAAGTTTAGGACACACACAGTGCGACAAAGCCCAGTTGACAATTTGCAGCTCAAGATTTATTTGAAGACACAGAATATTGAGTTATTACATTAGTCTCTCTCCCAGACCCTTGAGAAATAATTGAAAAAGGAGTCCAACTCAAGTCAAGAATGAATAGGCAAGTCTAGATTGCCTCAACTCCTGAAATTAAGGATTGTTCTGGGCTCCATTTTTGTTTTTACGTTTTCAATTTTGTTGATTTTTATGTTTTAATAGGATTAGGACTTTATTTCTGGGACTCATTACATGACTCTAAATGTGTCGGGGTCACAGACGAGGGGATACCGTAGGCGTGACAGTCATGAAATTATTGATCACTATCGATTTCAACACTAGCGTTACCAATACTTCTACATTTGGTAATAGGTCAGCATGCTGACGATATCACGTTTCGTTGATTGGCCTAGGGACATTGTTCATCAGAAAAATGCCGTGGTCAGTTTCCGGTCAGTGTGTGCCTAATTGCGGTCATTAATTACAGGTGAGAGAGTTGACACGTGATGTATGAAGCACACCTGTAATGAAGTAATTGTTATTGAGATTTGGTTTTGTTACAATGGCTGAAGTGGCAACCACTAATTACTATACTGGGCGTTCGCTGTGATATTTGAGGATTTCACGACAAAGGAGATCACTCTCTGAATATAATAGACGCTATTAGCATCTTTCAGAGTTGTTGGAAGATGGTCAGTGCATCCGATGTCATCCATTTAATCCGAGCACTGACGTCTCTCTCTCTCTCTCTCTCTCTCTCTCTCTCTTTCTGTGTGTGTGTGGTCACAGTCAGCGGCACGAACCCGGGTCCCGATCAGCTGATCCTGTCGCATCTAAGGGACGCAACTCTACACACTGGCTTAAATATCTGGTGTTATCATTGGAAAAACAAAAGAATTCCGTCGAAAACATAACATAAAATCAAAGATACACGAACAAAACGTTTTCACGACAAGTTTTGATGTGTTTGATATCAAAAGACACTCCGGTGAGATTCCATAAATCACCCAACATTATTCTTCCAACTTGTTCAGTTTGTAATCAGTAACAACCAACGCCTTGAGATTAAAATGTACTGCTGAAGAGCTTCATTAACAGAACGATTTGTGAGGAATTATAATCGTGATGCCATGGTAACTGATGCCGTCACAATGGTCTGGAAAAAAACTGTCATGCAATTTTATTGCAACTCCAAGCAGGGATGTATTTTTAAAAATCCGGAATGCCTAAGAACTTGTAACTATCCATAATTGGTGCACATGCAATTCCATATTGTAACGAAACAAGAATATATCACATGCACATCTATATATATTTTTACATATATATATGTATTTTTACATACATATGTAAATATAAACATTAAATGGAGACTCTTTGTAACACTGCATGAACCGGATGCCTGCAGTACAACATTTCTTATTCTAATCGAACACTTATTACTGTTCGCATCAAAGATACCAATCTCTTCTTCAATGTGGAAGTTGGTATTGGAACATTTGCTGTGGCAACAATTTGAATGATAAAATGATTGAGATGGCGGGTTCCCATTCTGTCTGTGGACGAAGAGCCTGTTGTCAGATGTCACGTGACAAACATTTAATGGTCGACATTTAAACTTCTAATCATACTCAAACTGTCTAGCTATCTATACGAGTAGGATATTTACGTAGAAAACTAATAATAGACTACAAAAAACATCCTCAGAAACTCATTTCATACAAATATTTAGACAGTGATTCAGGTTTGTGTTGAATTAACGTCACTGATTAAACATGAACGAATAAACCCATTTTTTCTTTGTCGTAAACTAATTTTAGCCATGATGTTGCTCGTCAGAACCTATTAGAAAGCGCACACTCACATCAAGTCGTGATAAGGCCATTAAGTTGAAAAATGTAAGATTAGGAATTTTTCGGTTGCGATTTAGTTGAAGGGGATGTATAAACATGTTTAAATTACTTTAAAATCATACACAAATTCCGAAGTATATCACATGTAAATTATTATGGTGCATGTAATTCAGCTATTGTGTTGTTTAACCGATAAATGACAATCATAAAACCGTACTTATAACCGGATATAATAAATCATCCTGAAAAGTTATGATACGCTCCCTCCAGACGTGGTATCTGTTTTGCACGTGCTACACACAACCACATGATGTAATAGTATTGATATCGTTATCTTCTCTGTCATAACAGCTTTTAAGCTCACCATCTGCAATCTTACGTGAATTTCAAGCAATATGTTGCCATGGAAACGATAAGATTTGGGGATAAATGCGTTATTAGTGGATTACGACCTGAGGTAATGATGGTTTGGGACAAGCGTTGGCTAATGCATTGTGCTGTGTCAAGGTCAACGCGAGGCTTTTGCAAAGACGTCAAGAAGGAACGATAACATGTCGTGTATTTTACCTCAACGCCATATTTTGTGGGTTTACTGTTTAGCCTATAGCTATTGCTGCACTGAACCTAGTTGTTACACTATGAACAAAACAAACTGATTATAAAGATCGTTTGTGGTTTGCTTTGACATTATTATCCGATGGGGCTATCAAAAATCTCTCGGCATTTCACAAGGATATTTGTGTTCATATCTTTGAAATAAAGTGGAATTTACGGACTTAAAGCAAATATCTCTGTATCAAACGCACTGCTGTGTATTCAAATAGTGCTAGAAATAAGAAAACAAAACAAAGTGAGACGGGCAAAAGAAAGTATACACTTGGCTGAAAACAAGCGCCGAAATATTGCAAACTTAAGGTCCAAAACACAACTTTGAGTGAGTGAGTATGGCGCTTTTAGCAATACTCCAACGATATTACGGATTAACACATTGTACCCATGCGGAGAATCGAACCAGGGTCATCGGCGTGACGAGCGAACGCTTTAATGAAGAAGAAGAAGAAGAAAATATTTGATTAAGGTGTCGCATGATATACATACATAAGGACAAACAGTTAAAAACAATTATTGTATACCAGCGGCCGATATGGCCTAAGGGACACAAAATATCTCATAAGTACAAATAAAAGGACATAGTGTGCTAAAAACACAAATGTTACACAAAACATACATTTAAAATACACGATGTAAAACGTGTAAGCGGCACGGGTGCGCGTCATGTATCCCGCATTAAGTAAATGATTGGATAGATATAGGTAAATAAAATAGATGGATAGATACAACTACATGTGCAACAGTCATAGCAATGCCAGACAGACGGCGTGCGCCCGTGCCTATGGTATATTACTAGTTATTGTAAAATGCTTTCTACGCTGAAACATCCGGTTCACTAAAGCGGCAAGGCATTTACAATAGGCTACCCTACCGCCTACACAACTATGATTCAAGTATCAAATAACCATTTCTTACTTGTTTCATTTTCAGGCACAATCAAACATGGGTGTATATTTACTTTTGTGTTTTGGGCTGTTAAGTGTATTCATAAATATTTGACCTGGAAGCGGGGCATGTTTTGGGTGGCCTAGTGGTTAAAGCGTTCGCTAGTCGTGTTCGGGTTTGATTGGTACAATGTGTGTTATCCATTTCTATTGTTGGCCGTTGTGGTATAACTGGAATGTTGCTACAAGCGGCGTAAAACCATGCTCACTCACAGATCTGAAACAATCCGAAATAATATGTGGTCTGAAAAATTCGTCCTTGAAATATATTTGCATTCTAGGAAATCGCTTAAGCTATCTTGTAGTGAAACAGACAATAGACACTTCCAGGAACCATGTCGCTGGCTTGTTTTTTGTTAGCATCGCTTTAAATTACAGTGTTTGGATCTCGGGGAATCAATGCAACTGAGTTTAAAAAAACAATGCAGAAAAAAGCACCCGATAATTTACTTCGTTGAGAAGCAAGAGAGACGCTGGATGTTTCACATCAGCACGTGTAGCAACGACTCTGGAAATTACCTCGTTTAACGAAGGATACCGTCTCTGATGATGGGCCTGCCCTTCCTTGGGAATCCCTTGTTAATAATTCCTTTGCATCATCGTTGTTGGGCTATATCTAGCCCTGATCGAGCATATAGATGTGTAATTGAGGTGACATTGACGGAAGTAGCTGTAGTCATGTCTGTTTTATGTTAGTTTTTGTAGTGGGGATATATCACGAAACACAATATATTTAGGATTTATCTCAGAAACCCCTTGCTTAAAGCGGCCATTGCTCTTACGACTATCGTAAACCGGAGATTATGATAGTCGTAAAGACTTACTAAAGGTGACAAAAGTTGTGGCAGCAGACCAGATGTATTGTAACAACATTGAATTACACAAAGGTCAAAGGTTAGTAGTCCACAATTGTGCAACTTCGATAATAGTAACTGTTGGGCAAAGGTTAAGCTGCTATTGACGTTTCACACCGAGTGCAATCAAGCGATAGAAATCTTACACATCATAATGTAAAAGTCTGTCTCAAAGTTCCTAAACCATATTATTTTTCTTCCACTAAGCCACTTTGAGTGTTGCAAAATCCCTAAATGAAGCAAGTCTAGATTTCAAGGATATGAATCTCCCACCTCACTGGGGCTCCTTTTCAAATTAAATGGCGTTACTTGTTTCAAGTATAATTATATATTTTAAGCGCTTGTCTGGTGGTAGAGTGGTAGAGTGTTTTTTTGGGGTCAGTGGTGCATTATTCGTTGTGCCGCAGGTAATTCATTGTTTGTTCACAGTAAAAATAATTGAACGTGTTACAAGCTCGTTATTAATGTAAACACAACATAAACTAGTTACTTATGTTAAACTGTTATGTTAATTAAGCTGTTTTGTTGAGTAATAAAACAATTAATAATGTGCAAAAACTCGTGACGAAAGACCCTCACGTACGCAGGGATATGCCCACAAGTGGCGACGCTAACGTGCCCAAACGCACACAAACGCACGTATTTACAATCTACAAATTTACCAGAAATTACTGGTACTCAGGTTTCTTACATACCTGTGGGTGAGAAACCCAGGGGAGATAACGGTATCAAACATATGACATATCTCAGTGTGTGAGATCGAATTCCAAGGTAATGACCTTAGGTCGGATTATGACGGACTCCGTTCCTGATTGTAATCAATGATAGTTATTCGTGCTTCGGTCGAATTCACCAACGTATGTGTCTAGTCTAGTTTGCATTATCATCATCGTCTTGATAAACCAAAGATATGGTTGAAACTAGGTTTGAGGAGGGTCACACAACCAATGGGTAGTGAGCAGTCGGCAGGATGACGTCAAAATGAGTTATGTATTAATGCGCCACTGTGGTCGTAAGAAAAGTCACAATATGCATCGATTCGATGCTAAATTGGTGCGAGTTAAGGATGTGTAAGAAAAAGTTTACTGCACCCGTGCCTGTCAAATACCACTTATCTTATCTCGTTGTAAGATAAATTGTTTCTGACAGCCACTCGAATTATCTAACTCGCTTCCGCTCATTACATTCCTTTTGAAACAACTCGTTGTGAAATAAATGGTGTCTGACGGACACTCGTGTACTAATCACAATATCTACGCGACCGCCTCCGTGGTCTAGTGGTAGAGGGTCCGCCCGGAGAGCGGAAGGGTCGGGGTTCGACCCCCGGCCGCGTCATACCAAAAGACGTTAAAAGATGGTACTTGTTGTTACCCTGTCTGGCGCTCGGCATTAAGGGGCTTAAACAAGGACTGGTCGGCTCGGAGTCAGCATACTGTGTCTGAGTGGGGTATTCATGTTAAACTGCGGCATGGTATCTCAATGAGCTAGAACTATAAATCGGCATCAGTCCGGACTTGTACAAGCAGCCACACAAACACACACACGTAGATGCATGTCGCTATATAAGTGCAATAATCTTGGACGCGACGTTAAACCCCATTTCACCTCACCTGTATCTACGCAGACACTTACATGCATACGGACGCAATGTCACACGATCAAACACATTTGCAAGCATATTACAAAAAAAACCCCACGTTTTCGCATATAAACGTACACGAACACAACCCTTAACATCTATTGATGTATTGATGTCGGAAAGTCTCCGCATTAGCAGAGACAGATACATATGCATGGGCACACATGCATACGTGTACTTGCGCACGCAAACAAGAACACAAATTAATCATTTCCACAAAAGCACACATACACACGTACGCATACGTGCATTTACAAACAAGTTCGACGCATACGCTAAAATATACCAAGATGACCAACAAACACAATTCTCCGCATCAATATTGCGGCTTACATCACAACAGTCCCAGCATCCCCGTGCTCGGTATACCCCATCAGCTGCCGTGTAGTCTTTGACAGAAGACGCCGCTTGTGGCATAGTTCCGTAATTTAATAACATCCGTTTGACCGACAGAAACAGACGTTTATTACATCTGTGGTGGTTATTCAATTTGTGACTGCAAGACCCCGGGCTGTGGGGACTTGCAGTAATAAGAAGCAGAACAGCTGACGTTGACAGTAATAACGGCGAAGTGGGTTACAGGCGAAGGAATCCACTGAGTGGGGGGCGGCTTCAGGTCGCTGTAGGCAGGGAATAGGGTAGACTTATACAAGTCTCTAAGGCAATAATTATTAGTTTAAATCATAATTTCTAGATTATGTAAATAATAAGAACAAGATTTCCCTATAAGAGACTGGTCCACATATCTAGACTTGCTTATCAGGAGGCTAGAATTACTACACATCCATGGACCTATCTTTCACTACAGCCTTGGAGCAAGGCTAGGGATAGGGTGACTGGGCTATTTCAACAAAACTATCGACTTATACTTCTTGGGTAGATGAAGTATATTGTGGTGGTAAGTACCGATTTCCTCTATTAGACGTATGGCGTTTATTAATTTCGCGCAAACCGTTGACCCAGTGTCTCGAGGCCCGTCGTCTCTTCTGTTTAATGTTGGCAAGACCCGTGAAGATTCAAGGGTAGAATAGGTCTTCAGAAACCCATGCTTGCCGTAAAAGGTGACTATGCTTGTCGTAAAAGGGGACTAACGGGATCGGGTGGTCAGGCTCGCTGGCTTGGTTGATGCATGTCATCGATCCAAATTGCGTGGGTCGATGCTCATGATATCAATCACTGGATTGTCTGGTCCAGACTCGATTATTTACAGACCGCCGTCATATAGCTGGAATATTGCTGAGTGCGGCGTTAAACAACAAACCAACCAATGTTGGCAAAGTGGTAACTTTAGCTACATTGTCGAATCCCAGTTCTACAGTTGCAAGAAAACGTCCGTTATTAATCTCCAAAATACGGGTATGACATACATCAAAGCAATGAGTATCTCACAACAGATGACGTGCACATGGCGTCTCAAGGAACATGGGGGTCAATTTCACATTCATTAATGTTATCAAATCATAGACCCGGCTACTAACGGAGACCCGGCACCTAACAGTTTTCCAGCGTCTAATAGAGGAAATACGGTATTTATTTTTTCAACGTCTGCTGCACTAAATTACAGTTGAGTGTTATTAAAACGAAATAAAACAGGACAAAGATGTTTCGGTTGTTGTGATTGATCACTGCAGCGTCTGCATATTGTCCATTTGTATTCCTGAACCACGCACAGGTTGATTCATCTGTCTGGCTGACTACACAGACTTCGATATCTACCTTTACCAGTCGTCTACATAGACTCAGTCCTCCTTTCTTGTCTGTTTATTCATGATTCTTTCCTTTTATTGTCTATCTATCTATCTATCTATCTATCTATCTATCTATCTATGTATCTATCTATCTATCTGCTAGTATCTATGCATCCATCCACCCATCCATCTATAACCCATCCATATAATTCATGATCTATCTATCTATCTATTAGTCTGTCTGTCTACCCATCATCCATCCATCTATTTATATGTTCATGTAAATGCATCAGTGTCTATCAACACCTATATATTTAGCTCATGTAGAACTGATACATCTTACAGGCTAAACCAAATCGTTATAGGCTAAACCAAATCGTTATAGGCTCGTTGCAATCCTGTTCATCAATCATGATTGACGATGAAGTTCTCTGTGAATATAACATTACCATCACCAGCAAATGTCACTCCCTGGAATACTGAATATACAGTGAGGACATTATAGACACGCGATGTGGCGTTGCGTCTCCTGGTGATAAAAAGTGAGGAACAAAAGAGACTGTCCCTCTCACTTGATTGTATCATGTGTTTGATTTTCAATTGAAAATATCTTTAGTTAGCGATATTATATCCCCCAAATGAACTGAGCTGGCGCTTAGTCGGCTCTCAAAGAATACTTCTGCATGGTTTTACTTTTTAAATTAAAACAATAAAACAGACGTCAATCGCATGAAAACAACTGGTGGTGGGATCTTAGGCATCTTATCTTTTTAAATCAATAAATTTGTCGGCACAAATGTACGTTTCATTCATGGTCCCAGTATTCTTGGAACCAAAATATTTTTCCCCCAAATTACCCAACCACAGATTACCTTTTACAAACTTTTGCAGGAATGAGTTATGGTTAAGTACTACAAGATGTACGGAGAATCTCACCCAAGTGTCTTTTGGTATCAAATATATCAACATATATGCAAAGGAGTTTTCCCCTTTTATCAAAGAGTATTGATAAATTTGATATCAAAAGACACTTTGTGAGATTTTATTTATCATCGAACATAATTCTTCAATCTTTTTCACTTTGTAGACAGTGTACCTGTACTGTACTGCTAACAGCTTCAGTAGCAGAGCCATTAGTGATGTCATTTGATTATGACGCCATGTTAACAATGACGTCACAGTGGTTTGCAAAGCATTGTGATGCAATTTCATAACAGCGATGTAGATATCGCTTGTTATCACACACGTGGTTAAGATACAGGCGGTACGATAGTAAATCCGTACGTCACACGTGTGTCGTACAAGGCCACTCTCCTACCCAGAGTTCCATGCGGCCGGCAGCCAGCTAGCATAGTACCTCTGCCACAGGCCAGCGCCATGTGACGATTCGTCACATCTTTCACAGTCCATTCAAGATATTGCATATGCTTTTCATCCGTTTCATGTTTGACAAGTCTACACATTTTCATAAACAAATGTCAAAGAATGGTTAACTTTCATTGAGAAAGTATGCAAATACGTAAAAATCTACTTGTTTTTGCGTAGTTATCCTATGTTTACATTGGTTGTACGGCTCCACGTGCTGTCAACGAAGCCCAACGGAGAGCTAGCGACACGGTCACTTTGATGCATAAATATATATTGTCTTGCAACTCACTGTCGCAGTTGTAGTAGCATATCTATATAATTATGCAAAACAATATGTAAAGCGTCCCCAAATACTTGCATTAGTCCGTTCTATACTGATTTCTGAAAAAGCGCGTTTGTTTACAAACAAGAGAAAAGTCCGGTCACGTGATATGCAAATTAGCCTGTGGCAGTGGTGTTATGCTGAGTCACCACTGCGACGGAGTGAGGTACAAGACTGACCTCGTTTTATTCGTTTTGATTGGATAACCGTGACCTCTCTCACACCGGGACTACTTTTTTCATTCATAAATAAATCGCGAGACATCATTCATTTTGCAACTACAAGGCAATACTGAAGCAATCTCATGAAAGACAGAGATATTTACAAAAAGTTTATTAAAACAAACAAGATAGCCACACGCATCAAATTCGGTTTGCATAATATATAAGTTATGCATGGAGCTTCTACGGACATTCTCTAATCGAGCTATATCCATATGCAATGAACGACTACCAGTAGATCGAGGGTCCCCATGTGCGTGACGCACCCGACCACTTTCGCAACTTTCAATTTGATTTAACGTAATAGGATAAGCGTGGTGAATGAAGTCAGTTTAAACTATCTGGTCACATATCAAGACTTACTTAGGATGACCCGGTTGTGCCATCAGTGTCCCCTTCGAAGCGTATTTTGTGGCACTGTTTCGGGAGTTGTTTGTTCACGACTGCACGACCAGATCACTCAAAGTGAACATTTCCGATACAAGTCATTCGAAAAATCCGTAGAAGTGTGCATGATTTCTGATTATGTGGCCCTAAATATCCCAAATGTGAACAATAACATTCCCTATCTCTAGCGTAAAACGCTGTGGGAAGATCACGGTTGTCTTTTCTTATTCCGTTGGTGACCTTGCCCTTCGTTCGAAGCTGTCACTGACATGCAAGCAGACTTGAGTTTGTTGATTTTCAGATCTTCAGTATAGGGTGGTACAGTTAACACGAATGTCTTATGGCGAACACTCTGATTCCCTCTTCCATAATGGTACGGACATCATATAAATTCAGCTGAAAGACCAAGGAAGCCGAACCATCCTGATTGCACAGACGAGACCACGGCAGTACGAGTGACCGACTTTTGATCCAGTATTCAAAGCGCGGCGCTAATGTGACTTTTATAATTTTCTTATAGGTGTCCTGCATCCTGAAAACATGGCGCTTGAATTACCATAAGTTGAAGAAATTCTTCCAAAAGCATCTTGAGCGTTGGTGCTGTTATGTTTGCAAACACAACAGCAGGCACATGTTGTTAATGCATATGCATAGAAATGTCAACAATGCCCATATTTGGGCATATATCAATATTCATGCACAACCAGATTTTGCAACCGGTTTCAGTTTGGCCCGTCAACGAGCGAAAGTTGTTATGTATTTACACTTAAATATATATTTAACGTGGGTTATAAATAAAATACCACACTCATTCTCGTTAGATAGAATTTTTACGAAACTCGTGAACTTTCTATGGTATATAACGAGTGTAGTATTCTCTATATCTCACCCAAGCAATATCTCCTGTGAAATGAAATCTAACAACAGTTTTTTTCAGTTACATAAAAAACAAACTCGGTATACTTTATTTTGTCCCATGGTTTAGTTGTGGACGTGCGATTGGCATTACGGCTCATGACATATATCAATGCTAATTTTATTACGTGATGCTTACCAACATGTACTGACGACATGGCAATCAATCTTTATTCATGGTACTTATGAGGCCAAAGGCCTATAGTACATTGTCTGGGGCGTGTTACAAATTCATACATTTTCTTAGTTTCATGATAAATTTCTAATAGTTTCTGTACAATCACAAGTCATTAATTAATTTTACAAAATTTGTTACCGTTTGAGTTGCGGTAGAAATAGTTATTTAGATATTTTGCTCTTAAATCACTGTAAATCTCTTAAATCTTTATACACTTGACATACACATAAAAAGTGATATTCATCTTCAATACAATCAGTTTGATAAATCCTACAAAATCTATGTTCTCTTGCAAAACCTTCATATCTGCCTTTTTCAATGAATAGATCATGTGAGCCACAACGGAATCGAGAAAGAGCTCTTCAGAACTTATGTAAATTTACACTTTATAGATAAGGTTCTAGTATGATAGTAGTCTTAAATGTAGTGTAGTAATAAGCTTTTCTAGAACTGGACAAAGAACCATGCCATTTTTGGGTGTACATATCTCTTAAGGTCTGTGTCAAACAGGAGAAGAAATGCTGTGGCATATCTACATGTTGCTGTAACCAAATATAACCATATCCACATTCGTATAACATTTTTTTAACTTGTCAATGTTGTTCAATTGATTGAAACTTAACCATTATCAACGTCATTTAATACATAAGATTGCATACTGAAGTAATAATTGTCATTAATATATATTGTGAAATGTATTTACACTTACATGTGATCTTAATCGTTCTTATAATTTCATAATTATATTTTCATGTAGCCATCAGTATGAAAGCCTCATCACATCGACGGTTGCACGGGCGGCTTGGAACAAGATATGCTCCTTCGGAACTTTCTGCCAGACTACCGGAGGGTCCATGGTGGCACAGGTTGATACGGCAATGGCCCCTCTCGGCAATCAGCTGGTCACTTGTGAAATAAACATGTACACTTGGTGATTTGTCAGTGTCACATATTGGGGGCTGACTTTTGAATAGGAAGTTATTATTTTCGTTGGAGAAATAATCTGTTCCGAAATCCTGAAAATAATATAATTGCTCCTCCTCAGATAAAACCTCTGACTGAAAAATAAATCGGCGGAGAACAGAAAAGTGGTTGGTCAAGAGCCACACATTGTGCGCACCAGGGGAGGGTGCACAGTTCTGACCTCCTTTCCTTGACATGCATCCAGAATGCATTACTGCTGCACAGCGGTATACAAGGCGTTCCGTCTGCACCACCCCATCCCCTGCTGTTTACAGAGGCGACCACCCATGTGTCTGGTCAACCCACCCCTGCATCTCTTCATTCACCCCTCCCAGACAAAATGGGGTATTGACCATTCACCAACCATTATTTAAAGCTTTGGAATTCCTAGGTGCCGTTGTTCAAGGCTATCAAGGCTATCATAGCGCTGAAGTGACTCCCATACCTTAACATAGACTTACGACAGTTGTACTGCTAAGGTTGAAACGGTTGTTCATTTTTAGTTCTTGTGGTGAGGTGAGGTGAAATTGGGTTTAACGTCGCGTCCAAGATTATTGCACGTATATAGCGACGTGTATGCACGTGTTTGCGTGGCTGCTTGTACTAGTCCGGACTGATGCCGATTTATAGTCCTAGCTCATTGAGATACCATGCCGCAGTTTAACATGAATACCCCACTCAGACACAGTATACTGACTCCGAGCCAACCAGTCCTTGTTTTAGCCTCTTTATGCAGAGCGCCAGACAGGGTAACAACAAGTACCATCTTTTAACGTCTTTTGGTATGACGCGGCCGGGAATCGAACCCCGGATCTTCCGCTCTCCGGGCGGACGCTCTACCACTAGACCACGGAGGCAGCCAGTTCTTGTGGTACTCTGAAAATGCCACACCAAATCAGCACCTTGCCATCTGTAATATATATCATGACTCCATAACTAAACACAATAAACAGTGATATGTTTTCAAACTACACAAATCTAAACAATTATCAACTAAACAATGAGTGACAATTTGACCACATTTTGTTAGAGGTTCTTGCTAGCATATTATATTATACTGATGCAGTGTATTTGGTTGTGCAGTAATGTTGTGTGAGCTCCTCTTTAAGCTGGTGAAATGTAGTCGGCTTCTTAAAACACATGTCAATAAACATGTACTTTGATACAATATTTAGTGCATTTATTGCGTTGTTGTTCTGTGCTGGATAACCTAAAAAGACAACGTCTTTATTTATTCTAATTTTAACCTGAATTTTATTTAATACCCAGTTTTCACAAATCTAACCAAAGAGAGTTCACTTTTCTACACGATCAAGTAATGTGTTCAAAATACGAGTAGTGTCTCTAAGTTTGAACAGAAGGTACATGAGCGTTGTCTACGTATCCCGTCTTGTGCAATCTATTGTTTGTTGGTAAAGTAAGATGCATTATTTGGGATTGAAACCAATGTAGTTTCGTGTTGTTTACACATCTAAAAGGTATTAGGTTGTGGTTAAGCTTATCTTTATCCGTCATCTTAATTTCCAGTAGACTTTCCAATCTATCAAAGTGTTGATTTTTGGCACAGTTGTTTTGTATTGAGGTTGAGGAGTAATGTTGACTTCCCTTTGAAATTTAAGTTAAAAGGTAGAATAGGGTATTCTGTTTTCGTTAGGAAATTGTTTATCCATTAAAATTTCACAGAGTTCAGTATACTCACGTATTTTAGAAAGTGTATTTTTATTTGAATGGTATCTTTGAAACTAGACTAGATGTTAGTCTATTACAGACGTCCATGTCATCCAGATTCAATGCCTAAGGCGCCGCGATTCGCTGTGCAGAGTTGCGTCCCTTCGGCACACCAGAAACCTATGATGGTGGGTTCGAATCCCAGTTCGCCAAGATTATTTTCTAGGTTTGTCAGCACCATACCCGTGCTCGTGGGTTTCACCGAAGTGGTGAACGTCTGAGACCTGCATCACCTCGGGCTTTCCTCCCACATTCAGCCGACACGCCGTGATATAACTGGAATACTGTTAAAAGCGGCGTCAACCCCAACTCACTCACTCAGTCTCCCCCCACCCAATCTCATCCTTAACGACCTTCCCTTGCTTGTTCATGTTACCGACGCGAAGTTTTACAACCGCTCTTTGTTGTTTATGAACGTAACACCAGGTGAACGAGATGCCTCCTGTCTGACCCCGCCCCTCCCCCTCGCCCCCAAGTATCCACCTGACACCCCCACACAACTACCACATGCCCTGGCGTACAATTATATAACCTTAGAGTGACTCTCGTAAATGTCTAATTGCATGAAACCCAACCACAAGGTTTTCCTGAACAGCATTAAATAAAGCCGTCCTTTTATTCTCGTTTCTCACCACGAACACCCCCTCTCCCCCTCCCTCCTCTTAAACACTTGACACTCCTAGCCCCTTCCACTCTCCGACTCTTACAGACCCTTGTGAAACATTCAAGTACATTACCAGTGCGGCTATCGACTGAGTTTGGCTTCGGTGATACTTCTCTAACCTGTTCTCATAATTAAAATACATATTTGATTTCAACAAAGTATTACCTTGAAACGTAAAGTTTCTACTTATCATGAATAAATCAGTGTTCGAAATAATCCAAATTGATTTATAAAGGTGTGGAAACATATATGTCCTGCTACCAACGTAGGACAAAGTGCGGAACACTTAAGTAAAAATGCGACATTTTCATAACTGTATATTTTTGAATAAACAGCGACCCCGTTCATCAGAACGGTAGTGAGTCCATTGTCTGGATAAACGAATTTCCCGAATAACGATTCAAGGTCACAAAGTAATGTCACTTCGTATTCTTGTCAATGTTCCCAGCTATATTCGTCCGGTAAGTGAGGTTTCCGGATTAGCGAGGTCCTTCCTGACTAACGATGACCTACTGTACCCGAGTTACAAAATTTCTTTTTTCTTTTATCCAATTTCACAATGACTTTTTAAATATATTTTTTACACATTGTCATGTCTCATAACTATTTCTAACATGATTCATTTGATAACGCTAACAGGTCTACAGTTAAACATAACACACTCTGCATCAATAATTAAGGTCTCAGCTACCAGCTCATATCAAACCAGCTGATAACCTGATCCACTTATCGCAGGGTCATCTGATATTTATCACACTCCTCTCTGCTTCTTCAATACACACTTAAAACCGAAGAGCTTCTCCCATTTCAACGGAAATACCTCATTTTCTTTTATACCGCCACATTCCTAGCGCCTGTTATTCAAAGTCCCCACTTAGCGTGCACCTACACTGATGACGTGACCGGGTCTAGTTATACCTACGTGTTTGTCTACCTTGCGGAGCGCTGTGAATATAGGTCGTGCGTCGCAGCGAATGCCTTTGAAATACGACTACAACCTGTTAAACTCGATTTTTCCAGGGCACGGTCGCCGGTGATGAATGTTGCTTGCATAGACTGGCGGCAGGGAGACTGCAACCTTACCTTCCGAGATTTACATAAGTTTTGTGTGTGTTCTTCATGCTACATTGCAGTGTTAAACAGTGTGTCATGTGGTTCAGGGTCTACAGATGCTGAATAACGCGACAACTGATGGGGAGATGTTGCCTTCTGTGCATGCTTCTGATATTGTCTTATCAAAAGGATCACGAAATTTATTATGTTCCTTTACTGAGAGGACTCCATCGGGTCCATGTTGCAGCTCGCATTGAGTACAAGACCACCCTCAATGCATACAAATGTTTCAACAACATCGCCCCAAATTATCACACTGAACCCTTACCAATCTGATCTCCACCGAGAACTCACCGATCTCAACAACAGAAGCTATTTTCTATTCCAAAAATCAGAACATCCACATTTGGCCAAAGAACCCACTCCTTCAGCGATTCCATGGAACTCTCTACCGGATAATGTGAAATTATCTCCTTCAATCTCTGCTCTTAAAGCCCACCTTAAAACCCACCTTTTTAACAAACACTGTCAATGCTAAGTGCACTGAACACACAGTTTTGTGCCCTTTCTGCGCTATACAAATACAGGCATTATTATCATAAAGTAATCAGGTAAATGTGTCTTTGAAACATAAAGGTCTTGCCCTCGTGTCTTACAGAGTGATGCTGGAATCAAGTCGTTTTAGTACATCATTTATCAATAGCCAGATAGGTCCCCAGTACTCTACTGCTTGCCAAGTCTACATTGGATGGGGGTAATAGTCTATAAGTATGGAATCCTAGATAAGGTTTTTTGACTGCTGACTACGTGCATCGTATCCCGATGACGTGGACGTTGCTCATTCTATCAATCACTGGTTCGATTGGTTAAAACTGAATTATTTACACACGGGATATGAATGGGATATTGCTGACTGTGATGTAAAAAAACAACAATAAAAAAGGCAAAAAAACCTTGGGGCATCAAGAATGGACGTCAGACCTTCTGTGGAATCGAATCCAGATACTAGGCACAACCAACGAACGCTTAATCCACACAAGTACCCCACCACCTCTGTGTGAATGTTTTTTTTACACCGCAGACAGCAATTCCGACTTTTTAGTAAACCAGTGGTTGATAAGATGAACACCGATCGACTAACGATACCAGTCAGCAGTCCACGCGTAACCAATCGATTTTTACTTCAATCGGATCGCGCGCGCGCGCGCGCGCACGCACGCACGCACGCACGCACGCACGCACACACACACACACACACACACACACACACACACACACACACAATCGAGGCACTGGGGACCTATTCTGCCTCAGAATACACACAAATGATTACAAAGTTGATAGACTTTCATTGCGAACACACAGTGGATCATCACAACACTAGCCAGCTATTATAGACACATGCTACTTTTTATGGATAATAATGTCTTTATTCTTTGGAACGACGTTAAGTGCATGTTGATGCAAAGATGTTGTGCATGTAGGGCTTTAATACGGTATGGCAGTATGTCAAGATCTCTGTG